ACAACAGATTTTTTTGACCTGTTCTAGAATTTTATTATTAGTATATATTTGAATTTGAGCAACAAAAGATAACAACTGTAAAAAGTTTTGTTCTTATAAGAGTGAATGGAACAAGGTCTGGCTCAGAAATTATTATAGCAGATAGAGTTAATGGCCATATTTTAAGTGAGGCCTGTTTTGGGATGAGCATATGTCACACAATATATTAAAATATTATTATTTGAATATTCACCCAATATAAGGCTCTTAAGAAGCTCACAAAGTAGTTATTCACTTAAAAATAAAAGAATGGACCATGTTGATAGATGGGTAGATATAAAAACTGTATTAAAAAATAAAAAAAAAATTAAAAAAAAAAAACAAACAATCTCAAAAAATCCAAAATTGGATATTTGTAGTTTCCTGTTCACCTTAATAATGGGAATGTGTAATATCAAAAGATGCAGTAAGGGATCTACTGCAATTTTGGAGAATGCTTTCTTACATCTATTGTGGAGTAAAACTATCCAGTTCCCTCTTGGTAATCTGGATCAGTCGCACCAACAACATCTTAACTTCCTTCTTTGCCAGTTGACTCAGAGACATGAGGAGACCAAAGAGGCCAGGAGGAAGTAATAACTTTCAGTTTAATGAAATGATTGCTTTACTTCCAAACAGAAACATTCATTTTTCTGGAACTAAGACTTCCAGGGCTATAGAGCCTAAGGTTGCAGGAACAGAAAGCAAAAACTTTCTTACTGTGTTACTAGGAATAATGATTAGGGGTAATATTCCTGTCTCCACACCTTGATTTCTAGTCACGTGAATTCCAGCAATAGAAGAGACAGCAGCATAGAGTGGGTGCTGATTCAGAGACCATTGAAAGCCTTCTGAAGAACCTTGCTGCAGCCCTGCAATGTACTGCCACTTAGCTGGTGCTGTAACTACATCTTCAACTGTCCACTAAATTGTTCTATCAAACCACCTGCTTCTTGGTGGTGGAGAATTTGGTAAGACCAGTGAATTTCTAAATCATGAGTTCACTACTTCACTTCTTTGGCCATGAAGTTAGTTCCTTGGTCCAAAGCATTGTTTTTTGGAATACCTTGATGATGGATAAGGCATACTGTACATCCACAGATGGTGGTTTTGGCTGAAACACTATATGTAGGGAAGGCAAATCCATACCCAGAATAAGGGTGTGTTCCAATAAAGATAAACTGATGCCCCTTTCATCATGGGCATGGTCCTATATAGTCAACCTGCCAAAAGGTTGCTGCCAGTTTTCCTTGGAGAATGATGCCATATCAGGGGCTTAGTGTTTGTCTCTAATGCTGGAAAATCGGGCACTCAGAAGTGGCAGTATCCAAATCAGCCTTGATGTGTGGAATTGAATGTTACTGTGCTCATGCATAACCACCATTATTGCCACCATGACCACTTTGTTCATGAGCCCATTGGGCAATGACAGGGGTGGCTGGAAAAAGAGGTGGACTGCTATCCATAGATTTGGTTAGACCATCTACCTGATTATTAAAATCCTTCTCTGCTGAGGTCAAATTTTGGTGGGCATTTTCATGAAACACAAATATCTTCACATCGTTTGCCCATTCAGAATAGTCTATAAACATACCTCTTCCCCAAATGTCCTTGTTGCCAATTCTCGAATTATGTTCTTTCCAGTTCTCTGATCAGCTAGCCAACTCATAGCAATGACCCAACAATGGTGTACACATCTGACCAATTTACTTTCACAAAGAAATGCACAACCAGATGCACTGCTTGAAGTTTTGCCCCTTGTGAAGATTTTACTTTAACACTGTCCTTCATGGTCATTCCAGAAAGCGGAAATAGGGCCTTATCTGTCCACTTCCAGGTGATACCTGTGTAATCTGTAGAATCATCTTTGAAGCAAGCCCTAATCTTCTCTTTCTCTGTTAACTGATAATAAGGTACACTCCATGAAGTCATAGGTTCATACTGAGAAACAGAATGTACTGCAGCAAGAGTAAGAGCCATGGGCAATTTAACCACATCTTTATGCAACCCTCTTGTTCCTTTAGGTCCCACCCATGCCTGATCATGTATATACCACTTCCACTCAATGATAGAGTGATAATGAACATGCACAACTATATGGCTTTGGGGGTCAGATAACACCCAGTTTATAATGGGCAGCTCAGGTCACATAGTGCCCTGGTGGCCCATGGACAAGCATTCAGTTTACACTAAGGCCCAGTAGCAGGCCAAGGGCTATTTTTCTAAGGAAGAGAATTTGTCTACAGATTATGGCAGGGCCTTGCTCCAAAATCTCAATGGCCCTATCTGTAATTCACCAATGGGTGCCACAGACAGTGTCTCTATCTGCCACTGACACTTCAAAAACCATGGACTCTGCTGGATCATGTCACCTGAATGGCAGAGCAGCCTGCACAGCAGCATTGACCTGTGGCAGTGCCTTCTCCTCTTTTAAATGCCACTCAAAAGAAGAAGCTTTCCTAGTCACTCCATAGATGAGCTGAAGTAACACACCCCAGGGAGTAATGTGCTGTCTCCAAAGTTTAAACAGACCCACGAGGCATTGCATTTCTCTCTAATTTTTAGGAAGAGAGAGATGCAACATCTAATTCTTTACACTGGAAGAAATATCTCAGAAGGACCCACATCAGTGGACTGCTAGAAATTTTACTGAAGTTGAAAGGCTCTTGAATTTTTGTGATAATTATTTCTCATTCTCTGATACACAAAAGCTTCACTAGCAAGTTCTAAGTGCTTGCTATCTTCTGCTCAGTTGGTCCAAACAACATAATGCTATTGATATAATGGATCAATGTAATACTTTGTGGAAGAGAAAAATGATCAAGGTCTCTGTGAGCTAAGCTGTGACACAATGCTAGGGTGTTGACATACCTCTGAGAAGAGACAGTGAAGGTATATTGCTGGCCTTGCCAGGTTAAAGCAAATTTATTCCTTTGGTTGTTGTACACTAGGATGGAGGGGAAAAAAAGCCAAATCAATAGCCACATACCAGGTACCAGGAAATGTATTAATGTACTCAAGCAAAGAAACAACATCTTGTACAGCAGTTGCAATTAAAGTCACAACCAGATTAAGCTTATAATTGTCAACTGTCATTCTCCAAGACCCATCTGTCTTCTGCACAGTCCAGATAGGAGAGTTAAATGGGGATTTTGTGGGAATCACTATTTCTTCATCTTTAAAGTTCTTGATCATGGCATTAATCTTTGCAATTTCTCCAGGGATGTGGCATTGCTTTAGATTCAGTATTTTCCAAGAGATAGGCAACATCAGACACTTCCATTTATTCACTTCCACCATAATGATCCACACTCCATAGGTCAGAGAACCATGATGGGAGTTTTGACAAGTGTTAAGTATATCTATCTTGATTATACATTCCAGGACTCAGAAAATAACCACAGGATAAGTTTAGGAACCCACTGAAAAAAAAACTGTAAGTCAGACCTTGCATAAAACTGCATTGATCTCCTGACTTCCATAAGTCTGGAAGGCAATAATGACATTCTTGGTCTCCTGGAATTAAGGTCAATTCAGAACCTGTGTCTACTGGTCCCTGAAAAATCTGATCAATGCCTTTTTCCCAATGCAGTTACTCTGCTAAAAGGCCCTAGGTCCTTTTGGGGAAATATGGGAGAAAAATTAACAGAAAGATTTTTGGTAGTGTACCAGTGTCCTTCTTCAAAGGGACATTATCTCCCTTTCAGTTAAGGGGTTCAGGATTTATAAATTGACTTAAATATGGAAATTAATTGAGGAATTATTATTCTCTGTTATTATGATCTGGAGAAGATATTTGTACATTTGCTATGATTTTTTTCTGTTTATATAAGTCAAGTAAGAATTTAGTGGGTTTCCCATCTATTTGGCTTTTATAAACACCATGACTAATTAGCCAATGCAAGGAGTCAACAGAAGTCAGAACATTTGTGTTCATTTCTTCCCCTTTACTTTCCATTATGTTAACTACAAGCACCCTGTTAATTCTATCATGCCCATCACATTGAAATTTTCTAATTGACTGACCACATCTCTCACAGTAAGGTCTGGCCTGCAAAAAATAGCAATCATAGAGTTCTTCAAGGATCTTTGTGCTTCCCTCACAAAATAGTTTCTTATAGTTTTGGTGAAGCAAACATCTTCTGAATCCCCAGAGTGTGGAGGAGAAGGTCACACATGACAGATCCACTCCCACATTTTAATCTCTCTGAGCCTCTGAATTCTGGTCAATCAGTACAAAATGTTTGATATCCACACTTTGGTTAAACTCATTTCTTCAGGGATCTAAACTCTGCCCTCTGTTGTCCTGATCCATTATACAGTCCGTCTTAGGCTAGCTAGCCCCAGGGCAAAAGAGTCTCTAAACTTTGAGTTGATCTTGTCACTCTTTCATTTAAATTCCTCACTCATGTTTTTTTTTTTTTTTTCCTAGCAGGGGCAACAAAAGAGATGACCTCTTTCCTGTCTATCACAAAGCATACAGGCTGACATGCCCATAAGAAAAGGCTGATTTATAAGAGAAAATAACAAAGTTCTCTGATGTAACTTTTATTTTGCATGGTAACCTTCAGATCTATTCTGAAAATCCCAGGGTGAACTAATTTTTTTTTTTTTGATGAAGCATGAACAAGCATGTAGAAGTTTAATTATACAAAGAAAAAGAATGAACTGATATGAGTAAACTGAAGGAGTAACCCAGTGAGGCCTATCCAGGCTCTTGCCTTTCTTGGTGGCATCCTTCCTCCCTGGCATGGGGCATGACCACTTCCACAAAAAGTGTGCTAAAATCTCATGTCAGTTGATGTAACTCAGAGAATTTCTCTATGGCTAGCTTTTACCCATAGGGGAGTGGAAAGCAGGATAGATATTTTGTTATTGTTGTTATTGTTGTTGTTGTTATTGTTTTGTTTTGCTTTTATAACTATCTTTGAGAGATGAAGCCTAGTATATATGACCCACCTCCAAAACATTCTTTTCTACAGCCTGTCCTTGTGGGGAAGAAAAGCAGGAGGAGGAAGGACTGAAGACATCAAAAAGACTGCTTCTGAGGTCCTTTAGAAGTTCTTCAGTTCAAATTATTGAAGCCAAGGCACCATAATTTAGAAAATCATGTTCAGGGCCCCAGTAATAGACTGCAGAGAAGGTCTGTCTGTAAACCTGGTGAGTTTATATAAATGTTTTCTGGTTTTCTCTTTGAGAGGTCTTGGGGTAGAAGCAATGAGAATACCTTGCACCAAGCCAGACCTAAGTTTATAAGTAACACTTTCTAGTAGAAGTGCTGCATTCTAGGAAAAAGGCTGGGTGAATAAAAGTTGAGCCTAGGACATGTAGACATAAAAAATTAGTGAAAGTAAAAAGGGGTTTGGTTTATTAAAATGATATGGGAGCCAACTGAAAGGACTCTCAATGACCAAACATTATTAGCTGAATTAACAAAATTAATCATGATTGCATTTGATTATAGCCAAATTAATGAAATATCTTTTTATCCACAATAACATAAATTTATGTTTAGATAATTAAGTCTTCCTCATATACAATAATTTTAATTAATAAACAAAGAAGGAATAAGAGAAATAGTCTTAATTAGAACATTATAATCAAGAAAAAGTATTAAAAACCAAACTTGGTCTGAAAACTTCAAGGAGAAATTGAATACTTGTGCAGCTTCAAAATACCCTTCCCAAAATATTCTAGTTGCTGTGATGATATGATATCAGGTACCTGGATACCCACCCTGTAACAAATGAAGCATAATACAAATTCTCCTTTCTGTAGGGTGGACCTAGAGATGCTTTCTAGAAAACAGAGAACAAGAGAGTAAAGAGGCAATGTGGGAGAAACCGAGTTGAGGTTAACATCACCAAAAGTCCAACAAGGTGTTGGGCTGAGCTGAAAATTAAACTAATGTAAGACATCAATAAAAAACTAGTGAAGTTACATTTGCAAATACAGAAGACGAACACAGAAAGAAGCCTCCAAGTAAAACAGGGTAAGCCTGGAAAAATTCTATGACTTCTTCTACTCTTTGTTACTTGCTTCTTGCTCAAATTTTGGAAGTCACCCAGCTGAGCAGTGTGTACTAATAGTTTGCTGAAACATCTAACAATAGAATCACAATGGTAGTGGTCACTCTTTGTTTCCAAGGAATGTGGAGAAGACACCATCTATTGATCCTTCACTGGGCCTTCACAACTGTATGATGGTGCCCTCTGACACTAGAATGTCAAAAGTTTCACACTTAGTGCATGCTGAGCCCACCATTATCTGAATGTTTGGCAAATAAAAATCTGAGTTTGATGTAACAGGTGCAACCCCCAGTTATTTCACTTTCCCTACTCCAGTGTGTTCCCATGCCTCAGACTACTGGCTTCCTTATCCTACAAATGCCCCTCAACCATATACTCAGGAAGAAGGGTTTGACTAGGGGTTCGCACCACTCTGTGACTGGTGAATAATCCCTTTCTATTCTACAGAACCTATTGGTTCAATGACATCTTGCTCAATTCAACAAATAAATTCACCTTTTGATTTTTTTGAAAATACAAAGATTATAAACTAAAATAATATTTTAATTGCCAAAAGTTTTTGTTAATTATTCAAATAGAAAGTTACTTCCATGAGTAAGTAAAGCTAGAGTAGTAAAGCCAATGAATAAGCCCACTCTAGACTCTACATGTGAATACATGACAACCTACTACAGCTTCTGGGGTAGAAAGAAAAATTTGAAATTCATGGTTATGAGTATGACTGTGTTCCTTGAAATAAATTTTTTTTTACCTTTATCACATGCAGTAATTTTGTTGAAAAAAAAATATCCAAGTAGATTTCACTTACCTCAAAGGGCCTAAGATTTTCCAATTTTACATATATATATCCTAAAATCCAATAGTATACATTGGACATTGAAAAAATTCTTCATGTAATGATGAGATTGCTGGATTTGAGAGTGCCAGAGAAAGGGAGAAAGCAGATTTTAAAATAACATAATGTTTTTAAAATGTGGTGTTTGGAGATCTTCAAGGCATCTTTAAAAAGGTATTCTGAGAACTTGTTACCAGGACTGAAAGAAGATGGATTATGCATTGTGAAAAAACAACAGAAATTCTTTCAGGACAGCTACAAGCTTTACAGCTCCATACTTTCCAGGGTCATTTATGACCAAACATGTGTTAAATGGAATATGTCTCTCTTGTTCTGACAAAGAATGATGATTAGACTTATCTGGAAAATGGAAACACAGGTTGTTCCTCTCCCTAGTGGAACAATAATGTGAACCTGAAAAATCATGAGGAGACTTTATCACTAAGTGCAGTAAGTACTGTTAGGAAGTAGTTGTTAATGGGCAAAAAAATGCATAGCAAGGATACAGGGTTGCTTGAAATTACTCTTAAAGTTCTTCAAGTTACTGCCAAAACACTTTAAAGAAGAAAATATATTACAGGGTCTCTCTCTCTCTCTCTCTCTCTCTCTCTCTCTCTCTCTATATATATATATATATATATATATATATATATATATCTCACATAAAAATGAATAAGATAAAATAATTTGTTCATATACAATTAAAGATACATTTTGAAAGTCTGGTTTTATATTGTAGAGAGAGAGAGAGAGAGAGAGAGAGAGAGAGATTTCTTTTGCAATTTGGGGTGCTATAAGTCCAATCTCGTAAGTGTGAGTTTGTGAAAATAATCTAGTGTTAAAGTAGTGTCAAGGTCATAAAACCTCTAAAGGCTCTAAGAGAGAATCATTCTTTGTAGCTTTGCTAATATGATGGCTTTAGGTTTTCTTTAGTTTGTGGCCACAAAAGCTAAAAAATTTTTAAAAAGAGCACTGACACTCTATCTTTTAGTCACAGGCAACAACTTTCTCAATAGGACCCCTAAAGCTCAATAATAATTCCAAGGCTTAATACATGAGACAACATAAAATTAAAAAGCTTCTGCACAGTAAAGCAAACAATTAGGAAGGTGAAGATAGAACTCACAGTATTGGTAAAAAAAAAAAAATTCTAGCTAATCTTTGGCCTCTATATCTAGAGTATTTAAAGAACCAATAAACTTTACACAAAACATTATGTAATCCATTAACAAATAGGCAAATTAGCTAAACTAACCCTTCTCATAAGAATAAAGACAAATGGTTAGGGCCGGAGTTGTGGCTCAGTGGTAGAGTGCACACCTAGCATAGGTGAGGCTCTGGGTTTCAGTATCAGCAGCACATAATAAATAAATAAAGATATTTTTAAATAAGTAAACAAACAAAAAAGTTCAAAATTATCATCATCTAACTGAGTTTACAACCTATGCTGAGTACACAAAATCTGACTACTTCAATAACTTAAGAAAATTGTGAACAAAGCACACAATATAGAAGAATCTTTTCAAAATATGCAGATGTCACAGTGATCTTAGAGGTCCATGGAAAAAAATGAGCCACTGAATTTTTTTATTCTTATACAGGGGAAAATCAAGGCGAGATTCCATGAAACATTTTATCCAAAAAAGGTCAGAAGTAGTACTATAAAGGAACAAGACGGCAGCTCCACTCCAGTTGAGAACACTCTCTCCCAGAGCTGTACCTTTCTATCCAAAAAGAGGCAAGTGCACTTGCATTGCAATAGGTGCAATATCAGTCCAGCACATCTTTACTCGGGTCTTAAAGGTGTGTGCATGGCTCCTTTCTAGAGTGGCCCCTGACACAACATAATTAGAAATAAGGACAATGAAAATAAAAACTATAGCACACTAATAAAATATAGAAAAAATAAAGTACTGAAAAAATGATTATGAAATATTCTTCAATAAGGTATTTCTTCCAAACAAAGATTTAGGTAAGTCAGATCTTTTCCCAGAATAAGTGAGATGATTCCTTAGGTCTGCAGACTGAAAAAGATGGTAAATCTGCCACAAATGTGAGATGAGATAAAATGTTAGAGGACATTACCTTTGATATCCTGAACAGAGAAAATTCAGAAATCACCAAACTCAAAATCAATTTTAGGTAGAGAGTAAAGAGGCACATTCAGAGAGTTTAACTATGTCATTTACTATACCCCTGTTATCATCTCCCAGAATTGTAGAACCATGAATAAACCTCACAAATTTATTATTTGCATGTTATCATTTTATTCCACCAACAATTCTTCTGGGCCACTAACTTTAACCTCACATTTGTGCAAATATATATATATATTTTTCTTTCTTTGTGTATGTGCAGGTGTTCTTCCCACACTTCTATGATTTTGTTCTGAAAATTTTTGTAATATCATTTCCCTTAAATTCACGTTTGTCACTTGAAGCCAGTGTCTAAATGCTCCATTTCATGTAATTGAAAAAAGACGATTCCTTGCAAGTCCCACCTGATTTGACTAATTATACATTAAAACTTAAAACCAATCTCAGTGCTACTAGAGGACTTATTCTTCACTCACCTTCTCATATATGGTGTTTCAGAGATTCTCAAATATATAGATTTGTGGTGCTGAATCATCTGGATAACACTCCAGGTTGAACAGTTGTGTGTCTGCTTTGATTGAATGTACTTTATTGTCCTGAATATTGTCATGTTCCTCCCTACAAAGAGTTTGGAAATGTGGATATTATATAGAATGCTTAGAATCATTATTTTCATCACAATTCACAAGACTAATTTTTTAAGACTTATCCTCATTTTGAAAACAAGGGAAATTTACCAGCCCTATTATTTCCTATGAGGAAATAATCCCCTATTTTAAAAAAGTAGCCATTAATTAAATTGGTTTTCAAAAGATATTGAGCAGTAATATGTTAGTGCATTAAAAAACAAAAAAGAGTGAGGTGAACTAAACTTCAACTATAACAGAGTTGACTGATTATTTTAAAGAAGGTACAAAACAAAACAGAATATGACCAGAAACCCAATAGTGTTAAAGAGGTAGACAATTTTAAATGGGATGTTGTTTGGTCAATGGGAATCTCATCTGGGTTAATTAACTGCTACTTTGGTAACTTAGGCTCCTGCTCTCTACTAAATGGAAGAGAGATATGTGTCCTATCTTATGGTATTCTTGGGAAAAAAAAACACAGAAATTTCTACACAGTCTTCAGTTTACTCAAATATTCACTTTAATGGGTGTTTGAGTCAAATCTACATGATAGAGCTGTATGAAAAATATAAAGTTTTTTTGGTTTTTATTTTTGTTTTTGTTTTAGTTAAATCTTTATAGGTCACAGCTAAAAACCTATTACAAATCAGGCTTAGAGGAGCCCGGCTATAATTGCAAAGAGAGAGAGAGAGAGAGAGAGAGAGAGAGAGAGAGAGAGAGAGAGAGAGAGTTTTTAAATCACAGGATACATAACACATATAAAATTATGCATTCAAAGAGGCAACCAAAAGCCTTATATTCATCATAAATTGGAAATGCTTTTAATGTGACTCCTCTAAATTTGGAATCAAAAAGGGAGCTATATTGACACCTAATTTATTACTGTTTCTTTCTCATCTTGAAGACAAAGCATCTACTATTTCTGATGAATGGAAGTTCACCTCTTTCCAAACCAAGAAACTTTAGGGTCACATTATGAGAAAGAGTAGTAGGAACAAACAAATTGGGGGTCAAGCATATGTAAAAGAGCCCAAGAACCCAAAAATAATGAGGAGATCCAGAAAATAACATAAATACCTTCTGCAAGTTTCTGGGACCATCTTCTATTTCTTGGATCCACAGGGTCTCATGTAATAATATATTTGTAAGGGATCCAGGGAGAAAGGTGGAAGTGTTTACTTTTTAAGACAGGCTTTAAGAGAGTTATGGTGAAGATATATGGGGAAAAATATATTTGGAAAAAAGTTATTACAAATATCATGCTATGAAGGGAGTGAACATTTTCTGTTAGACATTTGGTTTTACGCTACTTTCTATTTAATTCTCAGGTATGTGAGTCTTCTCAGCCCATCATCTCATTGTTGACTTTATATCTGGTGGTAATATGAGCCCCAATAATTTGATTTAAATAATATACAAAGGAACATTTATGATGGGATCTTTATTCCAGGCCGGGTGTCATGAAGCAGTGGACAACTGAAGTACAACACACACACACACACACACACACACACACACACACACACACACCCCTAATACATAAAGGCACAAAAATTTATTTGTTCTTAAAATCAATATTTTATTTCCTAATAGGAAAGGTGTGTAATACATAAATTATAAATAAGTGGCTACTTATTGTAAACTTTTCACAGGTAAAATAAGTAAAAATAATGTGTGATTTTTAAATACTTATGGAATTTAATCAATAGTAAGAAACTCATTTTTGTTATATTTAACTAAACACCTAACACATAAAAAAAATTAAAAAATTAAACTTATTTTTACAATGTGTGATGGTGTTTGATGTATTATTTCAAACTATATTTCAATTAATTATAAGTAAATTCACCAAGTTTTATTGAATTTACTTTCCCTATAGTGTTAAAAATATTTACATAGAAGACAAATTAACAAAATTTTAAGACACTACCTTTTCCATTTCCCCCTGGCACAGAACGTGATGCTGAGATCCTTAAGCTATCCCAACTTCTCCTCTGGAATATATAGGGAATAGCACTGTGAAATTTTCTTCTCAAACACATTCCCATTTGAGTATCATACTTTGATTTTCAAAATAGATTGTTTAAATCGTGTGGAAGACTTTAATGATGCTGCCCTGGAAGTGACTCATATTTTCCAGTAAAAATTTACATTTGATTCATATGATAACCCAATTCTAAGGCCAATCATATTTTGGAGTTCTCCCACTACAAGGAGTTATCTGTTCTGTTTTAGGTTTTTACCTATCAACATTATATTAACATGTTTACTGAATATTTTTTTCTCAGCATTTATTAGGTATTTCTACTTTGCTCTTTGTGTAACATTTCCTCAGGAAATGAGATTCTTCACATTTGAATCAAAAACCCCACAGGAAGAATCTGTGAATGTCATTTACCGAGTCTACACATTCTTTGTTTGTTTTGTATTGTTGTATTGTTCTTTTTTTATATTGTTGTATTGTTTTTTTTTTGTTGTTGTTGTTGGTACTGGTTATTGAACTCAGGGACATTCAGCAATATTTTGCATTTTATTTGGAGACAGGGTCTCATTGAGTTGCTTAGGGCCTCATCATTGTTGAGGCTGGCTTTGAATTTGCAATCCTCCTGTTTCAGCCTTCCCAGCCAATGACAAAATAGGTTTGCACCACTTTACCTGGAAACACACTCTTTTGATAAATTATTATTGGTGGAAAACATGCTAAGCTCTAAGAATGTCATTTTTAATTTTTAAATTAAAATAAGTACTCATACTTTACTAAACTTGAAAAAGTGCAATGAGGTGTGTATTTGCAAATCCTGATATGGTAGAAATGTGATGTAAAATGTAGTTTTTGCTGTGTTACATCAT